CCAGTCTTGGTGGCCAGCTCAGCACCCCAGGGGGTGGGGCAGGCACACCATGTGGTGCCAGGGATTGAACCCCGGTCACTGAGCTTGTCTAAGCAGGCGTTCAGGCACTCAGTCTGCTGAGCTATCTTGCCAGCCATCTAAATGTATATTTTAAATGAAAGAAATTAATCTGCAAAGGTTACTGTGTTGCTCCAATACCTCAACAACCTTGGAAAGTCAAAACTATCTGAACAATGATAAGATAAATTGTTGCTGGAAGTTATGGGTGATGGAGCGATAACTACATAGAGCACAAAAACTTTTATGGAAATAAAACTACATACTGTATATGATAGTGTAATGGCAGATGCATGTCGTTATGCACTTATTCAAACCCATTACATGTATGAAAGCATGAGTGAGCTGTGAATTCACTTACAACCCTGGAGTGACAATGACGTGTTTGTGGAGCTTTCATCAACTGTAATAAATGTATTACTCAGGTGGCAAATATTAATAATGAGGACAGTTATGCACACATGGGCAGGGGATTTGTGGAAGTCCTTGAATTGTCCTCTGAATTTTTCTGTGAACCTAAAACTTCTTTAAATAATGTACATTTAAAAGTAGCAAATCAGAAATGTCTTTTAAAAATCAAAGATGACAATTTTATAAATTATTTTTGTGACATTCAGCCTGCATCAAATTATTCTCATCCCAAACATCATTCCTTGTTTCATAATTCTATAAGTCGTGAAGCATCTGAATAATTCTAGTTTCTCTAGTAGAATGCTGTCCCCAGGAGCTACATATCTTGGCCTTGTCTCTCCATTGCTCAGAGGCTGCTACAGTTTTTAAGATCTTCCAGATTGCCACTTACCTGTATCTTTATGGATAGCCCTTTTTTATGACATCCTTTGTCTGATGTAGGTGGAAAGTGTGAATCCTGGATTCTGTTTCACCCATGTGTCACTTGCCATTTTTCCTCCAGGAGTTGTATCCCAAATACATTCGTCTCACTGTGTCCTTATCCCATACTCCATATTTTACTCAAAAAACAAGGGAGGAAAGGAAGTTAGGGGAGGGGAAGGAAAGTGAGAGAAAGGAAAGGAGAAGAGCATTCCAAAAAGCATGCCAGCTATTGCGCAATTATTTACTTTCCTGACCTACTACCCCTACCTTTTCTTTAGCATCTTCAGGCTGATTCTCAGCCAAAAGCTCCTGACCACCAATTAGAGACACTAATTTTTCACTTGTACAGAATTTTTGTGTGTATATATAATAGCACTGTTATTTGATAGAACCTCATCTCTACATATGATAATTTCCATGAGAAGGGATTGTTCAATTTATCATCATCAGAAGAGAAAAAAAGTTCAGTTGTCCATGGCACTAAGATAAATGCTTTAGAAAAATGAACTTGACAGCACTGGTTCTTGTCCTTCAGAAGTTATTTTATGACATATAAAGTAAGATTCAGACATATGTTTTCAGATAAGATTCTTTAGTATTTCAAGGGAATGTAATTTGTTATAGTTATGGCTCAAGGTCTTTAGGAGGTCGTACAAGGAATGATGGATGTTAAAATAGTATGTTCCTATTTCAAAGAATTTATTAAATGTATTGATCAGAGTGCCTCCCCCACCCCGCCCGCCAAGTAGGATTTTCTGCCGAGTTCTGGGAGCCCCCAGACCCAGTCCTAGCCCAGGTCCGACCCAGTCCTAGCCCAGGTCCGCAGCAGGAAGGAGCTGAGCACAGCAGCCAGACCTAAGCCAGACGCAGCTGGATAACTCCAAACTCTGTAGAGCTCCA